AATTGCGCGGTGTTATGTAAGGAGCTTTTTGAAGGAAACTACTAACTATCGAGAGTAAATTTTGAATTCTTTTCTCGGTGATTGTAACAAACCCTTTCGTCAAGTCCCATTTTAGCCCCAGCCAACACAGGGCCTGGACAGGGTCCCAAATTGATTTTGTGCTGTTCACCACAAACCCCGAATCTTTAAGAGTTTGCCTAATTATTGTGGCGTGATGTGTAGCTACCTCCCGGTAATGTGAAAATATACAGCCGTTGTCTAAATATAGCACAATATAAATCCCGTTAGCACGCCAAAATTTTACTAAAGGCCYGAGAACTTTTGTGAAAACATAGGGAGCAGTGCTTAACCCGAAATGCAAAACCGATAAACAAAAATATATCCTAACCCCTTTGAGAATCCAAGAAAAAACGAGAAAAGTATGGTGTTCATAAAAAATATCTATATGATGGTATCCTCACTTTAAGTCAAAACTAAATAAATAGCCATCCTTTTCAACGTAATTGCAAGGCAAGCGCCAATCGACAAATTTAATATTTTTTCCTTCCATAACTCCGTAAGAACTTACTTAAGGTGATTTTTCTTTGAAATAAAGTCATAATTGACCAAAGTTTACAAAGGAAACCACTTATTAAAGTTAATTTGAAATCAGACGCCATCTTGGATGATCAAAGTTATCACCCAAGATGGCGTTCCCATACATATTAACCAAATTTTTCAAATCTTTATTCGCTTATATCTTCATCGAAAAGTAAGCTACAGGACTAAAAGCTCGTATTCTAGATAATTTGACTATGCTCTTTATGACTTGCTACTTGGTTTTTGAAAATAMSGAATRATAACGAATGATAAATTTTCAGTTCGGGGGTTGCAACCCAAGAATTGTTGACGTACCGAAGATCAAGAATTAGACGCTTCTTACCCGATGAGTTGACCGAGACTGACAAAGGGTTAACTACATTGGGGATAGAGGGCACTTCAGTAATAGTGTGCGTTTTTATAAACGCTAAAATAGCGGATTCCACAAAATCACTATGCGTAAGAGCGGATTGGTTGTTATCAAAGTAAGCCTTAGATGGAGTTTCAATAAAGGGGAGCCGATACCCGTTATCAATCACGTCCAGGCCCTCCAGGGCAAACGAGCTTGCATCAATAGAGGCCCAATACGGCAAATGGCGCTTTAATCTGCCCTTAGAATAGGCGGCAATCATCTTSTTAATTCTGACAATCCATAGTTGTCCAAGTTATTGTCAGTAACGTAATCAATGTCATAGTACGATTCCATAACTTATATAGTCAACGCAAGCACGTGTCAAGTCGTTCCTCAATTTTGCGCCGTGTTAGTGGGATATTTCTCGTCGACCTTCTGCATTCGCTTCTCCAGTGACCCTGCAGTCCGCACGCAAAGCAGATGTCGTTTGGTCCTGCTCTTCTGGACTGAAACCAATGAGGCTGAACAACGCGAGTGGATGCGTAGAAGGCTGTTTGATGGATTAGGGATATGACTCGTAGACTGTTGATTGGTTACCGTAAACGGCTGGGATCTGGGTATTACGGGCCTGCTTCTCGGTTTGGACTGCGCTTTTTTACGTAAGGCCGCTTGTTCAGCTTTCCTTAATTTCTTCTCATCTTCGCTTCCGCTCGTATTCGTGGGCAAAATCCCAAGCAGCCGGAGACTTGTCTACTAATCCTATTCACTTGTTCCTATTCTTAATCTCAGTAGCTAGCTTGTCCAAAGCGCTGTTGCGGCCGAGTACTTTATCTTGCCTAAAGGTAATTTTGCTGCCTCCACGTGCTCGGCTAGGGCGGAATTGAATTTGTGCTGTTTGTAGTGGCTACATATCAAACACTTTAATATTGCCGTGTGGTGGTTATACATGGATTCAACTAGATAAAATATACGTGAAAACCTAAAACAGAAACACACACATAGAACATTACAAAAAATTAACACACGAAAAGCAAAACAAAAAAGGCAAAAAAACTCACCAAATATGACCGCGGCAAATAAAAACACAAATCACGAGGCTCTCCACACACACATGCGCAATACTGACATAAAAACACAAACCACGAGGCTCTCCACACACACACATGCGCAATACTGACAATACGTAAAACATAGAACAGGACACTAGACATGCACATGAAAACACAGGACAAACGGAATATATAAAACTTGTTGAGGTTAAGCCTCAACACTGTTGTTTATTGCCCTCGTTTTTTGAATCTGATATCCGACTGTTCTTTAAGTTTCCTTTTCAACGTTTCAGTTGTCGCGGATGCCTCGTCTTTGAGSTCGTCCTTTRGRTTTGCGAGCTTCTTATCAAGGTAGTCTTTGAAAAGGGAGAACGTATCTGCCAGGTTGGAGGGCTCTGAGTGGTCTTGGTTCGTTGGAGCTAAGCTCGGCGCCACAGGATCTTGTTGGTCTGGCTCTCTCTGAATGAGTCTACTATCACGTGAATGAGTCTACTATCACGTGAATGAGTCTACTATCACGTGAATGAGTCTACTATCACGTGAATGAGTCTACTATCACGTGAATGAGTCTACTATCACGTGAATGAGTCTACTATCACGNGCAATACTGACATAAAAACACAAACCACGAGGCTCTCCCACACACGCATGCGCAATACTGACATAAAAACACAAACCACGAGGCTCTCCCACACACGCATGCGCAATACTGACATAAAAACACAAACCACGAGGCTCTCCCACACACGCATGCGCAATACTGACAATACGTAAAATTTGGAACAGGACACTAGACATGCACATGAAAACACAGGACAAACGGAATATATAAAACCTGTTGAGGTTAAGCCTCAACACTGTTGTTTATTGCCCTCGTTTTTTGATGATCTGATATCCGACTGTTCTTTAAGTTTCCTTTTCAATGTTTCAGTTGTCGCGGATGCCTCGTCTTTGAGCTCGTCCTTTGGGTTTGCGAGCTTCTTATCAAGGTGGTCTTGGTTCGTTGGAGCTAAATTCGGCGCCACAGGATCTTGTTGGTCTGGCTCTCGAGCTTCGTCTTCCGATCGAAACAAGCTGTCGACGTTGTCTGAAGGATCGATCACGTGAATGAGTCTACTATCGCGTGAATGAGTCTACTATCACGTGAATGAGTCTACTATCACGTGGATGAGTCTACTATCACGTGAATGAGTCTACTATCATGTGAATGACTGTACTATCACGTGAATGAGTCTACTATCACGTGAATGAGTCTACTATCACGTGAATAAGTCTACTATCGCGTGAATGAGTCGGCTATCACGTGAATGAGTCTACTATCACGTGAATGAGTCTACTATCGCGTGAATGAGTCGGCTATCACGTGAATGAGTCTACTATCACGTGAATGAGTCTACTATCGCGTGAATGAGTCGGCTATCACGTGAATGAGTCT